CTCGACGATCAGATTACTCTCAAGAAAGATGGACAGATATCGTAAAGGTAATATAATTATAAATATATTACGGTTTTCTAACAAGTTATTGATAATTAATTTGTCCCAACATATTATTTAGTGTCACGATTTTTTTTATTTTTTTTTTGGGTATCTTATGTTAGTACTATGAGGAAATGGGAAAACCGACACCCAAAGCTGAGGTGATGAAGTATCTAAAGAGCAAAGAATACACAGATGCAAAGGATTTCGCGGGCGAATGTGAATCGGTTGTCATGATTGCCAAAGGACAAAGTAAGAATATTTTTTGTTATATATTTATATGTAGAAATTTCTGACCTTTTACGCGGGATTTAATTTTATTGGACATAATGTATAGGTGTACAAGGTACATGCAAATACGGAACTCGAATAGATTACATATTATCATCAGAAAATGCACCGTATAAGTTTGTCCCGGGTTCGTATTCGGTTTTTTCTTCGAAAGGAACTTCTGATCATCATATAGTGAAAGTTGATTTGATAAAAGTAGGAGAAAATAATCAGCAATGTACGAGTAGAAAAACGAGGCAGCACAGGAAAAGAACGGTTAAGATCGTACATTCTTCGTTTCCATCAAAGGGTATATGGAAGATTTGATCTTGAAGAACTGATCATTTTTTTTTATTATTATTCTTTTTTTATAATTATTTTCTGATGAATTTGATTGGGCATATTTGGTCCTGGAGAGATAGGAAATAGATGAATAAATTAAAGATACAACAATATGACAGTGATTGAATACATAGTATAGTGATGATAGTTAGGCTGTGATCTCTGTTTTTTTTTTTTTTTGGTGCTTTATTTTGTAATGTTTGGTTGTGTGTAATATTATTAAAATAACGTAAAAGTCCCTCATATTGTGATTATTTGCCATTTTAGTCCAAAAATAAAGTTGACCCGGACCCAAATGGGTTGTAGACTCGGATTCGGGAAAAACATAGTTGGGCTGGGAATATAGTCAGGTTCAACTACAATAAAATCGTATTTAGCCCAATAAATAATCAGGCCCAAACTTAAAATTTCCATTATCCAAATTTAATTGAATTGAATCTACGAATTGGAATATGATCAATTTTGATGATATTCCAATAAAAATGGAACAATAAAAACAAAAAATTAAAGACTAAGAAATGTAGGGCTTTACCCTAGTAAAAGGGAGCCCTTCCAGAAATTCTCGAGGGCTTAGGCAGAACCCAAGCCCAGGAGGGGGTTTGGAAATAGTTTTCAACCAGCAATAGACGCGCCTCGGTTAGAACCTCATTAGCTGCGTCATTGCCCCAAGCGCAAAGATAAATTTCCACTTCCCCCATTCCTCCTTTTTATAATACCCTTCTCTCAATCCCTTTTCTATTCGTAACCGATGTGGGACAAAATTAATAAATCCTCCTTGCGCATAAAATCATCTCTTCTTTCTTTGTATCCATGAAATCGATGTGGGATAAAAAACCCAAAAGTAATAAAAACATATACATTTTATTTTGTTGAATATAGTGAAAATACACTCACAGTATATCTCTGACCAACCATGGTTATCAACAAAAAAATAAACTGAGAACACATAACATTATTCTTTTAACATCACTGAATCGAAGTTTGCTCTTCACTGAAAAAATTCGAAAAAAAAAAAATATTCTTCTTGGTGTATTTTCTCACGACGCGTTTATAGCTGTCTGTATTTGTTCGAGAGTTCTCCCTTTAGTTTCGGGGACAACCTTAATCACGAATACAATGGCAAGTGCGTTCACCGCAGCGTAAAGAACGAACGTCCCTGCAAAATCATTGCATGTTCATTACTATTAAGAAGCAAAAAAAATCCCGAGAAATAATTCGAACAATCGGAAAGTAGTAAGTAAAGTGTACTCACCGTAGGAGCTCCAGCTCATGAGAAAGTTAAAAGTGTAGGAAACAGCCCATGCACCGAACCAGTTCACAAGTGTTGCTAGACTTCCAGCTACTCCTTTAATGTTTATCGGAAATATCTGCGGTTTTTAAATTACAATTTAATTTGTCTGAAATTTCGATATTTTATTAATCGAACAAAAAATTTCAAGATTTTTTTTGTCGTACCTCAGACATCACCACCCATGGAACTGCTCCCATTCCCACTGAGAAAGCCCCTATATAAACCTTTTGTTTTTCCATCCAAAATTTTAACCGATTATTTTTTTTATTTTTCGTTAATTTTTTTGAATATAAAAAAAGCATCCGAAAAAAAAAATTACCAATATGCCAGTGACAGCAAGTGCTGGAGTTACTTCGGAGGCAAGTCCTTGATCCTGATCCAGAGTTATAATAATATTCTTCCTCACTCAAATTCGTTCACGAACCAAAAAAAAAAAGTTTAAATAAAAAAAAATGAATATAATTTACCTTGAGATAGAATGAACTCCCTGTGAGGAGACAACCTAGGACCAACCCTGCCCCAGAAACCTGGACACAAGTGCCGATTTTTGCTTACATTACGGATAATGTAAAAACAATATTAATTCAAGCTTGTAAGTAGATATATATATGTAGTGAAATGTACCACTAAAAGAGGTTTTCGTCCTGCTCTGTCGATTAATGTAGCACCTAGGGCAGTGATTACGACCTGGCAAAGATACCGTCGATTTTCATTAAAATAAATTTATGTCTAGAAATTATATTTTTGATTAAAACTTATAATTAATTACCTGAAGAATAGCATAGATTATGGTTCCGACATCAGCTGGAAATCCTGTAAATATTTTACGTAATATGATGCTGAGCTCCCGATTTTTTTTTTTTTTTTTTATAGTTTTATGGGAAATTAATGATATATTTACCTGAGGACTCAAAAATGCTGCTGGTGTAGAAACAAATACCGTTGATCCCTCCGAATTGTTGACACACCATTAGTCCAACTCCAATCTGTGTCACATAAATTGAATTTTCGATATGCTAATTAGGAAACAATATTTAAATTAAAAAAAAAATTAAGACAAGGATACCGTAGTTAGTACCGTGACTGAGCGTAAATATCGCCTTTGAAATAAGTCGAGCACTTTGGCCTTTGGAAGGCTCTCCAGAGTTTCTATATAATCCTGTCGAAACGAAAGATACATATTATCTGCATTCATTCTACAACTTGCAAAATGAAGACGATCTTTATTTTTTTTTATTTTTTTATTTTAAGATTATGTATATATATATACTTGAATTTCAGCTGCCTCGACAGATATGTCACAATTCTTCCCACGTAGTCGTCTTAATGAAGCTTCAAACTCTTTCCGTTTTCCTTGCTTCGCCTGAAAAAAAAAAAAAATTATTACATCAGCGAGCTTTTTTTAGCAGCCGTTGGATCATAATATCGAGGAAGATATACTCGGGATATTGCTAATTACCAGCCATCTAGGGGACTCTGGAATTATAGCAAGGCCGATAAGAAGAACTGCACAAGGGACTATGCCTGCATACAGATTGGAGTCAATTAATTATTTCGTTATCTTTAATCGAAAAAAACTTATGTTTCGTTTCTTTATAATGAATATAGAAATATACCTACTAATGCTAAAACCCTCCATGTGAGCAATGTGCCTATAATAAACGACACGGACACTCCCATACAAATCATAAGCTGCATAGTTTGTCGGAACGAGCAAATAAACCTTAAAACCTTTTCAACTATCGAACAAAAGTTGTAAAAATTATTTATGTCGATAAATCAAATTTTTTTTGGGTTATTAACCTGGTTTATTGTTGTCAAAGCTCCTCTTAATTCCTTGGGAGCAATCTCAGCTATGAATACCGGAACCTACTCGACGAAAAAAGTGAATTAAAAAAAAAACAGAGGTAAATCTAGCATATTGAGTTTCGAATTTTCGATATTTTAACATATTACAGAATTTACCACATAAGAGAAAACTCCCATTCCATATCCAGTTGCCAATCTCCCTACATCCAGAAGAACCGGCCCCTGTCGAAATATTTATCGGATTTACTAAATCAAGATTTTTTATTTATTTATTTATGCTAAATTAAGGTAAATGTAATAATAATGGAAAACCTGAGCAAAGAAAATGGACAGCCACCCTGCTGTACAAAATCCACTCGATGTTATCATAGCCTGTTTTGCATTTTCAAATTCGATAAATCCAACACTTATTGTCAAATTTAACGATTTTAAGAAACTAAATTATTACCCCTTTACGCCCTATATAATCTGCGATTTTACCGCTAGTGATTGCACCGATCATTGCTCCGAACGTCAATATCGACCCAAACAACGAGTACTGCACCCGAAAAAAATTAAAAATTAATAAAACAGAGTTAATTAACTTCGAACTGATATTCCTAAGCTTATTCAAAGATTATACTCATGATTAACTTTGAACTAACCTCTGCTAATGATAAGTTTACATCTTCTCTGATTGCAGCCTGTGTAGGCGATGAATACCCTGCCTATCAAATTATACATCACCAATAAAAAAAATTAAGGAACATAATTCTTACAACAACAACAACAAAAAAAAAAAAAAAAAAAAAGAAAAAAGAAAAAAGAAGGACATACGCAAGCTCCGAAAGCATAGGAACCGCAGACAGCAACGAATGTAGTGAGATAAATCATGCATCTGTCTTCTTTGATGGCTTTCTTGATTCGATCGCCATTTTCTGATATCTCGTCTCGTGCAGTAATAAGTGGAGCTCTCATATCGTCGTTTTCGGTTTTCTCTATGTCCTGATCTTTAGCCATCTTTTGTTTCTCTGCTAATGTATGTTTACTTGCCAAATTGAAGAAATGTCAATAAAAAAGTATATACCATATATGTTTTCAGTAGGTCAGAAATTTATAGTTTAAACTATAAAAAAATAATAAATAAATAATGTGATTGTGTATGTCGTTTTATATTAGCTGACAGATATACCCTCAGCTAAAAATGTAAAAAAAAATTAAAAAAAAAAAATTCATCCTCCTGAAGGTGAATTTGAATGATTAGATACGTAAACAGAACGTAATTTCGATGCAAATTAGTAGTTACGTGTAGAACAGAAGCAACTATGTCGATGATTACTCGTTTTTTTTTATGTTTGTTAGGCTAATCACTTTTTTTCAAGGGCTGAAAGAGGATCAAAAACTGCGAATTACTCGATAAGTCGATTCGATTAGAAGCTTGTTTTAAGCTCGAGTTCTAACCAAAGTCGAACGCATATTTTGGCAAGATGTAAATAAAAATCCAGCTGTCGGTCACTCAAAAAATGAACGGATGAAACTCAGTCACCAATCAATGTTAGCTAATAAGGACAATGTATGCAAGTATATAACACAATTTATGACCACTTGCAGTGATGATGCTTATTTACATGTGATGTCTACATTTGCTTACATATTAAAAAAATTAAAAAAAATCACAATCAGAATTTGAAAACTCAAATGATTTTTTTGTTTGTTTTCGTTTTATATATTAAAGATTATCACTTGCCAGAAAAAAATTAAAATAATACATCATATGAAGTTATTATATCTTCACCTACCAGAAGGGAAGCCCTCACCTATCACTTTCCAACTTCATTCAACATTTCTTGCTATTACAAGAAATCGAAAAAAAAATAATAATAATAAAAAAAAAATATGTTTTTCCATACCAAACGTTAGCATTTGGAAATCCAGATTAGAGTTTACTGTTTAGAGATATTTTTTTTAATAATCCAAACAATGTAATGTGAATCAACGTTACAAATTGGAAATCTTATAAAACCAGATTCTTGAACCAGAAAAAAGACCTTTGGATCCGGTCGTAATACAAAATCGATTTTAAGAAAAATAAAATAAAATAAAATAAACGAACTCACATTTTCGATGTGCTAACATGGGAAGCTGGTCTGTGTTCTTGTTCTTATCTTGCATGAAACAATATGCATTGCCCCCTCAAACGTCCATACTGGTTTCTTTTTTCTTTTTATGGTGATTGATTTTTTTATTTTATTTTTCATTTTTATGTTTTCTTTTTTTGGGATTTTAAAAAAAACATAAATGTTTGTTTACAATTGTGTGGTGCCTAGTATGAAACAGCCAATTCAAGGTTGGGCTAATCTTAAAAGGGTAATTACTAATTATCAATAATTGTAAAGTAATTTAATGACCGCCTTTAACCCTTATTAAGGAACTTATTTAAAATACTACCATATAAAATTGTTACCTTAGATGGAGTGAGTTAGAACATGCCCTTAATTATGAATGAATATACACTATTTTATACACAATTTTATTGCATCTTTTTCATCTTTCAATAATACTATCTACCTCAATCAAATTATCACCAACTTAGAACACAATACAAACACAAGCTAATTCAATTTGTAGCTCAACAAAAAAAAAAATAAAAAATAAATAAAAAAAATTAATCAAATACAGAAAATAACATCGAAATCAATCGAACGAACGCTTCCAACAACTCGTAAAGCTCAAAGGCGCTCTAATCGGAGCACAAGTTACCTTTGCTAAGCATGATCATGCTTCAATCTTTACACTAGTATCTCCATCATTCAAGAATATAACTCCATTCTGTTTTTTCAACTCTCTATATATATACATTAACTAGTTTCAACTCTATAAAATTCAGTTTTTTTTTTGAATGAATCAACACAAAAATATTAATCAGCTGCCAAAAAATTATCTCTCGAAAAAAAAGGCGAAAGAGCCACCGACCTTCTAGACGCTACCGACCACCATCCTTCTCTTCTTCGTCATCATCGTCATCTTCCTTGAGTGACTCAGAATAAGACTGATAACCGGCCCGAGTCGACAGCTGTCCAGAACCGCCACTACTACTCACCGACCTCTCGATATCCTCGATATTCGCTATAAGAGATATCGGCCTATCCGGTATCCTGGGAAAAGCTACATTCATATCCAGCATTTTAACAACGTCGTCCATCGTAGGCCGTGCATACAACTGAGGGTGCGAACACAGAACCGCCACCAAAACATACCTCTCCACAACGTCACTCGGCCCCAACTCAGTCATACCCTCTTCAACCACATCCATAGCTTTCCCTTCCCTAACCAAAGACCAAGCCCAATCAGTCACTAAAATCGGCGGCTGCCCGTCGTTCGAAGAAACGAGCGCTTTTCTCCCACTCAAGATTTCAAGAAGCACCACCCCAAAGCTATACACGTCGCTCCTTTCGGTCAACTGTCCGTATAACGCGTACTCGGGCGCCACGTACCCCATTGTACCTGCAACTCTAGTGCTCAAGTGCGTCATTCCTTCGGGATTGAACTTTGCCAATCCGAAATCGGCTACTTTAGGCTCAAACTTCTCGTCTAGTAGTATATTACTCGCTTTGATGTCTCGGTGGATGATTCCAGGCTGTGCGCCGTGATGCAGATACGATAAACCCATGGCAGTTCCCATTGCTATCTTCTGGCGTATGGGCCAGCTCAGCTTCCGGTCCGTCGCCCCGAATATGTGATCGTGTACGCTCCCATTTTTCATCAGATCGCATACGATTATTCTCTGGTGCCCTTCGAGAGGAGTTGTGGCCGTGCAGTACCCTCGTAATGCGACTAAGTTTACGTGGCGGACACTGGCTATGACTTCGACTTCGTGCGTGAACACGGCGTCGCCCGAAGCAGAGCAGTTCTTGAATCTCTTTAATGCTACTTCGGTGCCGTCGGGGAGTGTGCCTTTGTACACATTCCCGTACCCTCCTTTTCCGATTATGTTTTCTCTCGAGAAATTCTTGGTTGCGGCTTTGATTTCGTCGAATGTGAATCTGATTAGGTTTGTGCTTGCGCTGATTGAGTCCAATCCGGATGCGGTGTTGGTGTTGGTGTTGTTCTTCATATCGATGAGTTTTTGCTTTAAGATTTTGGCCCTTTTCCGCCGGAAAAAACAGAACAGAGAAAACCCTAGAACCAGAAGCAGGACACAGCCCGCCAGAGAAACATAGATGGCAATTTTTTTGATCTTGCCGCTAGAATTGGACGATGCGAAATTGAGATTGAACAAGCACTTGGCCGTACCTTTGTCGGTGGGGCCGAAATGGTTGCCGTACGCGGCGGCGTAGATGAACGGGTAGGCGGTGCAGTCGGATACGTTCCAGATTTCGCGGCCCGGGAGGTACGAAGCCTGGATGCTGGACAGCGTGGTGGTGCACGTGGCGCAGGGGGAGTTGTTGTCGAGGGACTGGTTGCAGGCGGCGATTAGGTTGTCGACGGCGGGCGGCGGGACGAGGGTTTCGAACTCCGAGCGCGTGGTGACGTTCATGCAGCCGCGCGTGATCCACTCGGTCTGGAACCCGCAGCGGCGGCGGATGTCGAAATCGGGGACGAACTCGGTGACAAAGGACTCGTAAGCGTCCCAGCACGCCTCGGCCGACTCCGGCGGCGGGAGGAATGAACCGGTTAGCCGGAGGTGCTCTGACATAACGAGGCGGAGGCCTTGGAGGATGTACTGGCACTCGAATCGGGTATCCACTCTGACGCGCTTCGACGCCGGAGCCAGCCGCCGCAGAACGCTGAAGTCCAGCGGGCATCGGGTAGAAACGGTGCCGTTTTGGAGGAGGGAACGGCGGAAGAAACCGGCGGCGGATGGAGCGGTTAACAGTTGGGTAAATGAGAGGAAAAAAACAAGAAAATAAAAGAAACGACACATGATGATTTACATGAGGGGGGTTTTGGCGTGAGGTGAGAGGCTAACAGAAAAATGGAGATGAGAGCAGAGCGTCTTCTTCTCCACTAAAACAAACGCAGACAAATTGTAGAGAGAGAAAGTGGACTTCAAAGGAAAGAGGAGAGAGAGAATATTTGACTGTTATTAATTATTAGCACTAGCAGTTGATCTGATCATCATCGAATTTTAGGGTCTTCTTTTTCTCAAATTATTAATTAATTAATATTATTAAATGCCATTACGGTACAAGTTACTTTTTCCCCAAAAGAATATGATTTATTTGTTAATTATTTATTTCAGAGATGCATACGTAAAATAATTAAATTATATATTATTATTTGCGTCGTTTAATATTTCTCGCATGAATGCTTTATGCTTCATAGTTCATATGATTTCACTTGAAAATGTACTTAATTTTAGTTGACTATATACTACTATCCATATATAAGTAAAAATAAAAATTGTTTGATTTAAAAAAAAAAAAACTTATAAATGTCAGAAATTAGTTACTTATGCAACAAAAAAGGATTTTTTTAATTTGTAATCTTGTTTTTAATAATTGAATTTCGTACTTTATTTATTTTTTTATTAATATATTTTGTAATTTCATGCTGTTGTTAATGGAGAAGTTCATAGCAGTCCCATATCAATTAAATGGGCCTGATCAATTTCATATACTTAAAAACAGGGCCCACGTATTTTTACCTGTAGCTATTATGAGCCCACTTATCTCGCAGCCCAATAACAAGTACATAATGGATCTATTTTTCAATTTGACTTCTCATCATAATGCAATAAATTAGTAACGGTGGTCCCGTAATCGATGATCTAGCAGTTAGAGAAAGCGAACTCGTCGTATGAATTGATCAAAGTTTGAATTACAGTCGTATCAATTAGTTTGATCAGCTTCTCTAATGTGACTTACGTCTCTCGTATAATTTGTAAGTTAGTATACGAAAATGTAGAATTTATCCAGTGTACCTATCTGATTGGTTCCGTGAAAAAACGATTAACAACTTTTTTATAAGGAGGAACCCCGTTTTTGAAGTTTACTTATATAGTGTAATGAAACAAGTATAATTGAGTTGTAAGTAACGATTAGATAAGGAAGCAATTAGTGGTTGAAATGATTAATGGAGTGATTAAGATATAAGAGCCATTGGGGGACAGGAATTTACTTACGGCATCAGCTACTTCGGTTCAATCATTACAGATTTATAAACTCCGTTTCTTTATTTGTTAAAATTGTTTTCTTATTTTTTATTTAATATCACATTTTTTTATAGAGCCCAAAAATCGAGGGAAATTTTATGCGACACATGGTGAATATAACCAGACACCGTAATTGAAATGATTTGTGCAGGCCAAAATTAAACATTCAGGCACATTTTTTACCATTTTTCAAAAAACAAAAAGTAAAAAAACTCAAAACTCTCTCAACCTTTCGATTTTCTTTCGCAAAGCCCGTGCAAATCGTCAACAGATCGGAGGTAATTTTTACGTTTCTACGATCCTCTTGTTATGTAGATTACGAATCCGAAAAAAAAAAACGAAAAAAATCACACGTTGGCCTGCTCGTGTGAATTTACACGAGCGCATCCACTGTGCTCGTGTAAATCCACACGAGCAGGCATTTTTATTATTTGTTTTTTTTTTTAATTGCTCGTGTAAAAACACACGAGCGGTTGCAAAGTGCTCGTGTGATTTCACACGAACGCTTTTCAACCGCTCGTGTGTTTTTACACGAGCAGATTATATATTTTTTTTTTTTAATTTATAAGATGCTCGTGCAAAAACATGGGAGTATTTCAACAGTGCTCGTGTGAAATCAGATGATCACTGTTGAAATGCTCGCATGTTTTTGCACGAGCACAACAATTTAATTTTTTTTTTTTTTATTGGGTAGGAATAGTACAAAAGGTAAATAATCTATATATAATATAAAAAGAGGATCTATGCCCTCAATGATTGACATGTGGCAAATGATGATGTCATTTGTCAAAATTGCTTAGTTGGAGTTCAATTGATGAGGTGGATTCTTCAATTGATTAGGTGGCATTTTTATTTATGGATGTTTTTAAGTTTTTTACTATTTTACATTTACACAATCATTAAATAATTACCACATGTATATATATTATTTCCAAAGTTAATATTTCATAAATTCGAAATAAAATTTTTTTATTTATATTTTCAGTATTTCAAAATATATTTATTGAAAAAAAATCATGAAACTCAATTTTTTTTACGAATATTCAAATAATTTTCAGAAAAAACATTTTTTTAATATTAAAATATTAAATAAAGGAATACGGT